TAGAGTTTATACATTGTACAAATCTGGAAGCCAGTACAAAGCCATTCCAAATCTTCACCCACATAACTGCTGATCAAATAGACTTTATACATTGCACAAAAGAGATTTGTAGCACTAAATAGCAGCCACATTTAATTCGCTGTCAAAAACTATTAACATCAGGCCCTAAACTACAGCTATTTGGAAGTCCAGTTATTTATATTGGAAGATCAGATTTTGGCGGTCGATTTGGAGGGCTTTGGGTTGGGCGATGGCGGCTTCGTGGTCGTGGAGATGATGCGACCGTCGGGTTCCTTCCAGGTGGCCTTGCGCCGGCAGCCATCAGTTTGGGTGGCCTTGCGCCAGGAGCTCTTGCTCCGGGAAGCCCTTGGACGTTCAATTTAGGGATTTAGGCAGAAATGTCGTGAAAAAGGGAAGAAGCGTGAGTTAAATGGGTTAATGTCGTGCCCAAGTTGTCAATTTAATGGGTGTTTTTGCCATGTAAGAAAACCGTGAGCCACATGTACATTTCCGTCCATTTGAAGAGATGGAAGTCTACTGAGTGATGGATGGTTAACTATTAGGAAAGATAAGTGACCATTCGGTAACGCGTTAAAGTTGAGTGAGTAAGTGGTAACCAATTTAAAGTTCAGTGATTGTTCATTAAATTAACTCTATTTTGAACTATTATAATTGTATTTTATTTTTATTTTGTATTAGTTAATTATTATAACGGATAAATAGGAATAAATAGTAAAAGTACCTTTTTGCTTATTGCCATTTTTAATTTGATTAAAATTAATTAAATTTTTATTTTTTTAGTTAACTAAGGTCAAATTGATGTTTTTCATCAATNATAAATAGTAAAAGTACCATTTTGCTTATTGCCCTTTTTAATTTGATTAAAATTAATTAAATTTTTATTTTTTTAGTTAACTAAGGTCAAATTGATGTTTTTCATCCATTTTGGACTCCAACTGTACATTTATGAAATGTTAGGGACTTTTGCTGGCACGTAAGTCTGCAAAAATTGAAAAGGTTAGATACCACTACTACAATTTTTACAAGAAAATAATGCCACTACAAGTCTACGACCACACTTAATCTATTATCTATCATTATATTGATTTTTTTATCAAGCTACAAATGGGAAATTAAACTAAGCAATGTTTGGTACATTTCTTTAAAATGTATTTTCTCACAAACTTATTTTCAATAATATATGTAACTAAATATAAAAGAGACACTTTGCATGTACCGTTCACAAGCCGTGAGCCAAGCCGAACGGCTTTATGGCTCGGCTCGGCTATTTTTATTTTTTAGTTTTAACGTTTGATTCAATATTTTAAGTTACAAATATTCGTTTTAAGCGATTTAAAATTTGTTGAAAACGTTGAAGTGCGGCCATGATAA